GTTAGGGTTGTTTTTTTTAAATGGTGTTTAAAACACTCAAAGAAGCATGGACCTCACACCTTCTCTCACAATCTACACATGAACTAACTCAAAATGGTTTACAGGTCTACATGTGAGAGAAAAAACTTAAAACATTTTTAAGAAAACATATGAGAAGAACTTTGTCTTGATTTGGTTTTATTTTACGAGATGGCCACTCAGTAGAGGAAGTAAGGGGAAAAGGATCAGCAAAGGAATATTTTGACTATCTTTTCATTTGTGAAGTTAATTTTTGAAATGTAGCTATCAACTGGAGTGGAGCAGATTGTGAACAGCTCAAATGCCAGCTGAAGGTCGGTGTTTCCAGCTCACTCAGCAGTACTCGGACGGCAGGCTTGGTAATCCGCTCTGCAAGGTCACGGTCTTGCAGGCTGCAGAGAAGTTCTGCTGTGCACATATGGGCTAACAGCACAAAGCTATTAACTATTCAGCAAACTACACCGATGCGCTGGAATGGGTTGCTGCTATCAATAATGTGACTAATTGCTTTTGTACTCATTGGTCAACACGATTTATACTTGCAAAAATAGAAGAAGAATACCTGTTTATTTTTGAAGTTCCTTGCTGTCCATAGCCACTCGAGGGCACTTTTTGGTAGAGTAGTTGTCTGTTGGTTAAGTGGGTCTGAGGCTTTAGTCTGGGCACGATTGATTCAATGTGATTATAATTGAGGCATAATACCTACAGAGAGGAAACTTCATTAATCAGACATTAGTTTATAACTGCTGGTACAATGAATGCTCTTTTGTTTGAGACTATCAACATTCCAGAAACTATTAAAATATGTGGATAAAATTTGGAATATATAACATGATTTAGTAATATGTTAGCCTTGCAAAATGACATATGTTTTTATTTATCTGGATTCAGCATTAAAGATGTTTTTGTATTATCAGACATGTTTTACATTTCTGTGGAATTACATTTCAAACAAAAGAGAGGGATCTAGAAAGTTGCTTAATATTCTCAATCTGTACTCCTGATTTTTCCTAGCCTGATATGTATGGAATAACTCCTTAGTTGGGGAGAGAAGTATTTCTCTATGTGGAAATTAGGGGAAATAAAATTGCTCAAATCAGTAGCTTAAACGCCCACCTCATGACAGTGAAAGGAAAAGCTCAGACAGCCTAAAGCAGGCAGAGAGAAGGTATTAATAAAGATTGGAGTGACAATTCATGAAGCAAAGAACAAAAACAGGAAAAATGAAACTAAAAGAACGTTCTTGGAGAAGCACAACACAACAATGCACAACCCTTGAGCTAGATTAGCAGAGGGGAGAGAGCACTAGGAAGTGAGAGCCAGAGGGCGAGCGAGAACTCAAGTCAACAGAACCAGAAATAAAAGAGGGGCCCCTGCTGACTTTATTGAACTAAAGAGGAACTATAAAGAGGAATATAAACAAGATGGGATAACTGAAATGAAATGGAAAAATTCCTAGAAAATCACCAACCACTACCTGATTCAAGAAGAAAAAGACAATTAGATATATAACAAGTGAAGCAATTGAATCAGCAATTAAAAAAAAAAACAACTACTCATAAAGAAAGGCTCAGGTCCAAATGGCTTCACCACTGAATTCTATCAAACATTCAAGAAAGAATTCATACCAATTCTTCACAAAGTTTTCAAAAAATTTCAAGGAAAGAACTCTTTTCAGCTCATTTTATGAGGCCAGTATTATTCTGATAAACAAAATCAAGCAAAGAGATCACATGAAAATTATAGAACAATATCACTTATGGTTATAAACACAAAAATCCTCAACAAAATACTAGCAATCCGAATTCAGCAATATATTAAAAAGAATTCTATACCACGATAAAGTGCTGGGAGCCAAGATTCGGAAGCCAACTAACTACCTGGTCTACTGACTGGACAAGACTCATATCTGTGCTCATTCCAAGGAAGGGCGACTCAACAGGATGCAGAGATTATCAAAAATATCATTAGTACCACCTGCAAGTGCAATTTTGATGAAGAGAATGAAAAAGTGGTTGTAGCAGTACATCAACAGAGACCCAAGCCAGATTCAGAAGGTGGCATGGCATGAGGGATCTTGGCTGAAAGCTGAAAATGCCAAAAAGATGTTTGTGTTTCATTGACTATGCAAAGCCACTTGACTGCGTGGATCATACTAACCTCATAACATTGCAAAGAATATGAGTACCAGACCACTCACTTGTTCATGAGGACCTTGTACCTAGACTAGAGGCAGTCATTGGAATCGAATGACTTTAAAGTCAGGAAACGTGTGTGTCAGAGTTGTCTCCTTTCACCATACTTACTCAATCTGCATGCGGAGCAAATCATCTGATAAACTGGACTATGTGAAGAAAGTGGCATCAGGGTTTCAAAGAGGATCATGAATAACCTTCAAAATCCAGATGACACAACCCTGCTTGCTGAAAATCAAGACTGGAAACATTTACTGACAAAGATCAAAGATTACGTACAGTCTTCACTATGGATTACAACTCAATGCAAAAAAACCCAAATCCTCACAACTGGACTTATAAACATGATAATTGGAGAAAAGATTGAAATTGTTGAGGATTTTATTTTCTCTGGATTCACAACCAAAAGTCACTGGAAGCAGCAGTAATCACATAACGTATTGATTGGGCAGATCTGCTACACAAGATCTCTTAAAAGCATTGAGGAGCAAAGATGCCACTTTGAAGACTAAGCTGTGCCGGACTGAAGCCATGCTTTCTCAATTCCTTCATATGCCTGTGGAAGCTGATCGGTGAGCACGGAGCACTGAAGAAGAATCTATGCATTGGAAGCATGGCTTTGCTGCAAAGTTCTAAAAGCACTGTGGACTTCCAGAAGAATAACCAAGTCTGCCTTGGAGGAAGCCCAGCCAGAATGCTCCTTAGAAGTGAAGATGGAGAAACTCTGACTCAGACTTCGGAGAGGATGGGGATCTAGAAAGGACCCCATGAGTGGTGAAATAGAGGGTCGGCACGAAAGAGGAAAGCCCTCAGCAAGATGGTTGACACAGTGACTGCTATAACAATCATGAGGACGCGGAAGGACAGAGCTACGTTTTGTGTGTTACATAGAAGGTCACAATGAGTCAGAACAGGCTTGGTGGCACCTTACCGCAAAAACAATAAGATGTATATAACCCAAGAAAAATTAAAACCTAGATCCACACAGAAATGTTCATAGGAGCAGTATTCATAGTAGCCAAATGGTGGAAATATTCCAATGTCCGCCAACAAAGGGATAAATAAAATGTGGTATACAGTGAACCCTCGCCACTTCGCGCTTCGACTTCCGCGGCTTCACTCTATCGCGGTTTTTGCGTAACAGCACCCACTGCCTACACCAGCTCCTTCAGAGGAAAATGACGGCGACCCACCTGTAGAGTACATCCCTTAAGTCATTTCATAGGCTATTGATTACAGTATTTGTAAGAACTATGTATAATAATACTGTATGTGAAATATGTAATACTGTAAACTAGATGCCATAAATAATATAATAAATAATAAATGATAATTGTAACGTCCAAAATATTTTACTGTATTTTCCCTTTTTCGTTTAATAAATTGGGTAATACGAGTGTAATGGTGACTAAAGGGTGTTTTTTCATGTCCTCTATGCTCTAACTACGAAAATATTTGATTTACAAATAAGGAATCCTACTTCGCGGAATTTCATTTATCACGGTAGGGTCTAGAACCGATTAACCGCGATAAACGAGGGTTCACTGTATATCCATATTATGGGATGCTGTTCAGCCATAAAAATAATGAAATATTGATGCATGCTACAATATGATTGAACTTTGAAATCACTGCTAAATGAGATACTCCAGCCACAAAGACCACATACTATTGCAATTCCACTCATAGGGCAGTCCATAACAGAGAAACCTATAGAAACAGAAAGCAGATAAGTGATAACTTAGTACTTGGAATGAAGAAGGTGCAAAGGGATAGGGCACTAATAGCTAAAAAGTATGGGGTTTCTTGTTCTAAAATTGATGGTGTCGATGGTTGCACATATCTATGAATATACTCAAAGTCAGTTAACTCTATCTATACCTTAAGCGAGTGAATCGTATGATTGTGCTGCTTCGGGAAGTGTGGCCTTCTCCCACGTCAGGCCCTACCTGCTCACTCTACAGGCAGCCTTCCATCCTTCCTCGTACTGGGAGCCTTATTGCACTTACGGCGATCACATAAAACTGAGATCAAACTCACTTTGTGAAGGGTCAGAAGTAATACTTTTTCATAGGCATAACTTCTCTTTTCTAATGATATGGGACATACATTTAAAAAGTCATTTTATTGGGGGCTCATATAACTCTTACCACAATCCATACATCCATCTATTTGTACATTTGTTTCCATCATCATTTTCAAAACATTTTCTTTCTACTTGAGCCCTTGGTATCCCCTCCTCATTTTTCCCCTCCCTCCCCAAACCCCCTTCCTCACAAACCCTTGATAATTTATAAATTATTATTATTTTGTCATGTCTTACACTGTCCGACATCTCCCTACACCCACTTTTCTGTTGTCCATTCCCTTGGGTGGGGGAGAGGGGAGATGGGACATACATTTTAATGCAAAAGCAAAGAAACTTAACTTGCACTGAAAAATAGTTAAAGAAAAAATGGGTATTTGTGAGCAATTCACCTTCACGTTAGGCAGATAAATCAATCCACTGAATGAAGTAAGATTGTTGTTTTGTAGATTCACATTCCGCACACTTCTGAATTGATCCACTGGAACCAAGTCCACAGTTCTGAATTCAGAAAAAAAATAAAAGAACTGTTATTTGAAAAGAATGGAAAATTATTGGAAAAGATAAGTCCCTCCAGATATAACCTCAAAAACATGTTTCAAACATGTCATCTGACAAATGCTATGAAAAATAATTGCCATGATGTAAAATGTATGTGTCAGATGGCAGGCTCACCGCTCGGTTCTGCAGCATGCATGTCAGAAAGGCTCATCCAGCAGCAATGTAGTCCTCGTGGTGGAGTAGTTATGCACTGGGCTTTGATCCACAAGGTAGATAGTTCACTCTTTGGAAGAAAGATGGGCTTTCTACTCCCCTAAATAGTTACAGACTTGGAAACTCGTGGGGCAGTTTTACCGTGTCCTACAGGGTCGTTATGAGTCAGCAGCTACTCGATGGCAGTGAATTTTAGAGTCTTTATGTCAGAAAGGGTGGGCACAGAATTCTGATTGCTTTTTTAAAAATCACATCAATCACCACAGAAACAGAGCACTCGCAATAAAGAAACATAAAATGAAGATCTTTCATTTATTTATAAATTCATCTATGTATTCATGAAATGGTAATGAAATTGACATGGTTCATCATAAATGCTTCAGGTTATTAACGGCAGAGGCTATATGTGAAATAAGTTAGTTCTGAAGTGCCAGACTGGGGAGAGATGTGAGAAAGAAAAGCAAGGAAGAATTTTGAAAAGAGTGTTTTGTTTTAGAAAAACTCTTTATAAGGATATTTTGCCAAACGGAATGCACGATTCCTACTTCCTAGCTTCACAGTGGTTCCACCTTTGAGCAACAGAGAGAACCGATAACCAAGTCTCCTTTCCCTGTGAAGGGATAGCTAGTTACTTACATAAACCCTGTACCCAAAGCTGCAGTCATGCCATGCTTTTATCCACAAATACACTATTCCTTCCAGGTTTCCTAAGTGTCTCTCAAGTGCAGGCTCATTGCTTGAGAAGCCCACAACAAAAACCACAGGCACTGTCTGCCCTCAGGAAGCCTACAGTCTTGTGGGTGTGAGGAAATTAAAAGAGCAAAGGAAAATTGCAACCATAGTGTTAGAAACCTTACTTGGGAAGTCAGTGATGACTTGACAGAAGGGAAATTTTGAAAAGAGACTTAAGGGATTTGTAGACATTTGCCTAAAAATTAGGAGGAAAGGCCTCCCAAGCAGTAACAAACTACCCAAGTAGAGGGAGAAGCATGAGTCAGCATTTTGTGACTGGGACTAAGAAACTAGAAGCATTTCAGAATTTCTGAAGTGTAAAGTGTTACAGAGCGCTAAGGGTGGGGTTTGCTCTGGTGATTGTTTGCATTCCGAGTCAGTTCTGATTCAGAGCAAACCTAGAAGCACTGCCCGGTCCTTTGCCATCCTCACCTTTGCTGTGTTTGAGCCTATTGTTGGCAGTCACTGTGCTGTTCCATCTAGCTCAGAGTCGTCTCTTTTTTGACACTCTGCTGTGGTAAGCATGAGGTCCTTTCACAGGTATTGATTTATCTTGATAATATGTTGAAAGTATGTGAGACAGTCTCAGCACTGTGCTTCTAAGGAGCATTCTGGGTGTACTTCTAAGATTTGTTTGTTCTCCTGGCAGTCCATGCCATATCCAGTATTCTTTGTCAAAGAATTCCAATGCATGCATTCTCCTTATTCGGTCTCTAGCTTTCACATGGATATGAAGCGATTGAAAACATCATGGTTTGGGTCAGGTGTACCTGAGTCCTCAAAGAGGCATCTTTGTTCCTTAACACTTTAAGTAGTGCAGCAGATTCGCCCAATGAAAAGCACCATTTATTTCATGACTATAGTTTCCATGAGCAATGACTGTGGACTCAAGCAAAATGAAGTCCTTAACAGGTTCAAACTTTTCTGCATTTAGCATGATGCTGTCTATTGATCCAGTAGTGAGGATTTGGATTTTCTTTACACTGAGTTGCAATCCACAGTGAAGGCTGATGTCTTTGGTCTTCGTCATTAAATGCCTCAAATCTTCCTGGTTTTCAGCAAGCAAGTTTGTGTCATCTGCATATCAAAGGTTGTTCATGAGACTTCTTCAGTTCCAGTTCTTTTTCATATAGTCCAGCTTCTTTGCTCAGCATATAAATTGAATAAGTAGGGTGAAAGGATACAACCTTGATTCACACCTTTCCCAACTTTAAAACATGCAGTACCCCCTTGTTCTGTTTGAATGACTACCCCTCACGCTATGTGTTTGTAGGGTTTACAGATGATGAAAGGTAATTAAACACATAAAGAAAATGCCTATGTTATTCTATAGACAATGAAAAGTCAGTGAACAATTTTGAGAAAGGAAATGATCTGAAGAAACGCATCTTTGAAAGTGATATAATTGATGTGGTTATGGAGAAAAGGCTTATGTAAAACAATAGGCTGAAAGGTCATTAAGAAAGTCCTTATAGCTACTCCCTGACCTAGGCTGATGTCAGTGATCATTGAGAAAAGGGGGAAATGGGAGACTTAAGATATGGACTCTGTACAATTTAGTGATTAATTGAAAATGTGGGCAAAGGAAATAAAATCTGACTCCTAGATTTTGACTTGGGCAGCAGGTAGATGTTATCTCCAGCTCCGGTAGTGGGGCCCACAGAAGAATGAGCAGTGGTGGGGGATGCTGCTGGGGAATAACAAGAGTATTGTGATACTTTATGATGAACTTGGTTTAAACTACGCTAACGTTCAGGGGGAAACTATCTAGATAGCAAGTGGATATTGAAGTGAAAGGCAAGTTTCAAAGATTGTAAATCTGAGTATCATCATACTCAATGGCAAAAGATAAATCACTCAATGAAGAATCAACAATAAGAAGAAAGGAAAGAGAAGGAGAGAGGATTATAAAAGAGAAGAGAATGCAAGATAGAGAAGATAGAAATGAGGATAGAAGTTATGATTCAAAAAGGAATCAGAACTTTATAGAAAAACCAGGATGAGAAATTAAAGGGGGAATAGGAGATAATGCGCATAAGGAGCTGCTAGGTGACACAACCAGTTAATGTGCTGGCTGCTATACGAAAGGTGCAGATTGTAGCCCTCACTGAGCTGGACTGTGAAAGAATGGTCTGGCCATCCCTTTCCAACAACAGAAGTCACTGAAAACCTTATGAGACACAGGTCTACTCTGACACGCACGGTATCACATGAGTCCTTATCAAGTTGATGGCAATTGGTTTAATGAGTGCATTAAATAGGGGGAAATAGGGGGTCAGCATTAACAGCGTCAGAGAGGTCAAGTTAGTTAAGAATTTAAAACAGAAGGTAAACAAGCCGCCATCTAGCTCAGAAGCAACAAAGCCCACATGGGAGAAGCACACCAGCCTATGTGATCAGGAGGTGTTGAAGGGATCAGGTATCAGGCATCAAAAAGCAAAAATATCAAATCATTGTGAATGACGGGGAGTGCAGATTGGGGACTCAAGACCCATCTGTAGGCAACTGCACATCCCCTTACAGAAGGGTCTCGGGGAGGAGATGAGCCAGTCAGGGTACAGGGTAGCAACGATGAAACATACAACCTTCTTCTAGTTCCTAAATGCTTCCTCTACCCCACCCCCCACTATCATGATCCCAATTCTACCTTACAAATCTGGCTAGACCAGGGGATGTACACTGGTATAGATAGGAACTGGAAACAGGGAATCCAGGACAGATGATCCCTTCAGGACCAGTGCTAAGAGTGGCAATACAAGGAGGGTGGTGGGAGGGTGGGGTGGAAAGGGGGAACTGGTTACAAGGAACTACATACAATCTCCTCCTTGGGGGACGGACAACAGAAAAGTAGGTGAAGGGAGACGTTGGACTGTGTAAGATATAACAAAATAATAATAATTTTTAAATTATCAAGGATTCATGAGGGAGAGGGGAGCGGGGAGGGAGGGGAAAAAATGAGGAGCCGATACCAAGGGCTCAAGTAGAAAGCAAATGTTTTGAGGATAATGATGGCAACATATGTACAAATGTGCTTGACACAATGGATGTATGTATAGATTGTGATGAGTTGTATGAGCCCCCAATAAAATGATTAAATAATAAAAAAAAGAATTTAAAACCAGCCCACTGAATTTATCAACCAGGAGGGCAGCAATGACGTTCCTGAAAATGGTGTCAGTGTACTGGTGGAAATGGCAGGCAGCATGTATTATATTAGAGTGATGTGAGAAAGCAAACCAATTAAGTACAGTCTAATTTTAATAGCTTGAGTGCAAAACTACAAAACAAAAAAAAAAAGCAGGGACCAAGAAAAGAGATCAACATTTGTAATCATGGTTCACAGAATTAAAACTGTTACTCCATCTCAAAGGGTCATAAAATTACCATATGTGTTTGAAGCATGATAGGTGATTTTATGAATATTACTGAATAATACAGCTAGACCAATAAACAGCATCATTTTAAGTGAAGAAAATATTGAAACCCTCAAGGTTTTGGATCCACAATCAACACCTAAAGAAGCAGCAGTCAAGAAAATAGTGCTTTTAAAAAACCCAAAACTAAAGATATCACTTTGAGGACTAAGGTGCGCCTGACTCAAGCCATGAGACTTTCAGTTGCCTCGTATGTGTGCAAAAGTTGAACAATGCCTAAGGAGCTGGTCCCTTTGAATTAAGATGGAAAAGAAGTATGGATATGAAGGCAGGTAAAAAAGTATCATGACAAAATATAAAGGTATTATTTCTTGACATATCCTCCATCCAGACGTACATACTTCTGATGACAATATTTCCATGTCCCCAATCCTTCTCTCAAGAATTCTGGCTCTTTGATTTACATCAAGTTAAAAGACCATTTCTAGTGTTCAAATTGTGTTCCTTTGAAGTGTTCTTTGAATTTGGGGGACAAAGAGAAGACCCAAGCGGTGAGACCTGGGCTGGCTGGCTGGCGTGAGGCTGCGCAGTCCGCTCCTCAGAGAGCCCCCGTGCTACTCAAAGACCAAGGAGGCGCCGTGTCAGGATGGAGAGAAGTGTCTCCGTGCAGCTCCTCCGGCTTTTCCCATCAATGCGGTTTCCATTTTTCTTCACGTGTCTTCCTAATAACGCCCCGTGAAAGTCCTGTATCCTTTGAGAAAACTGTACCCAGGTGACTCCGCTTCTGGAATAAGACAGCAGACCCCACAGCAGTAGCCAGAACTGTCCAAGCTGACCTCTCTGCCTTGAATTGAACTGGCCCAGCAGATTGCCTCAAAAGCCACTGTTTTGAATGGCCCTTGCTTGCCTATTGATTGGACTTTGTAAATCGAAGCTCATTTCTGGTTATGATTCACTCCATAGAATTGGCTTCATTAGTTTTGATCTTGCTTAAAAAACGTATGGAAAGACCCGCTCTTTGACATAGGTAATCTTTGCATAATGCTATTGTCATTCATTCATCTGAAAGGTTGTTGATTTTCTCCCAAAATTCAACATGCCACATGATGTGCAATCCCAGTAGCTATCACAATAAGGACAATTTTACAGTCTTCTTTTACCAGTTCCTGGACTTCAACCACATTTATTGATCGAAAGGTTGACTCTCTTGGTTCATCTTTGAGGTCTTCCTGATTAATCATCCTTAAAATGCATGACCCATCTAAAAACTGTTGGCTTATGTTGGTAGCTTTCCCACAAACTTTTGTTACATTTTAATGATTTGGGAAGATGTTCACTTGAGTTTCTTTATTAAAACATTTATGTTAGCCCAGACTTCAAAATTGTTTGCTCTTTTCCTTTCCATGGCACAAAAAAGCATTCTTCTTCTTTTTTCGGAAGGCATCCTAACAAGACTCAGACAGGTGTATTAGTGAAAGGACATGTCTGCAGCCATCCAATGATTGCAAAGAAGTTTAAACACATTTTGTTTGGACCAAACTGTTGCATGTAAGAACTGGAACTCTACTAGCAATCCTGTTTGACTTCATTTTGTTTTGGTAGAACTACAGTCAGAATGTTCCTTAGAAGTAAGGATGGTGATTTTTTGTCTCATGAACCTCGAACATCAGGAAAAACCAGTCCCAAGAGAAGATCATCAAGCTCAAGAAAGTAGTGTGTCAGCAAGAAGGGGGGAAATTCTTAGGTGGTTTTGACACAATGGCTGCAACAATGAATGCAGATATAGCAAGGATTGTGAAGATGGTGCAGGATCAGGACGTGCTTTTCCATTGTGCATAGGGTTGTATGAGTCGGAATTGACTCAGTGACTCCTCACGACAACAGCTATTTGGATAAAGCTTAGAAGAATGAGAATAATTTCATATCTAGCTATCCTATCGAAAACATATAATAAAAATACTATACCTGGCTCATTGTGCAGTGGGGACGGGGCCAGCCCGACCGCTCTAAGCAGAGGCCTCTGAGTGGGGTGAATGCCTGCAGACCGTGCACCAGCCTAGAGTCAATGACCTTGAGCAGGTCGTCTCCTCCCCGAGCCTCAGTTTCCTCAGTGGCAGGGCAGAGTTGACAACACTTGGCTTTAAAAGTTTGTTGGGAGGTGTCTCTGAGGCCGTAGCTGGATGGAGACTACAACAAGATGACTGACCAGGACTCAGGGGGCATTAGCCCCTTCCTCGGGCACTGGAGTAGTGGTCACCTCTCTCTTCATGACGCTCCTGGACGTGGTGAAGGTGCATCTGCAGTCCCAGCGCCCCTCGATGGCCACCGAACTGATGCCGTCCTCTAGACTCTGGAGCGTCTCCTACACGAAGTTGCCCTCCTCTCTCCAAGCCACAGGGACGGGCCTCCTGTACTGCAATGGTGTCCTGCAGCCCCTGTACCTGTGCCCACACGGCACACGTTGTGCCAGCGGCTTTCATGAGCCCACCCGATTCACCAGCACCATGGATGCCTTTGTGAAGATTGTGCGGCATGAGGGCACCAGGACCCTGTGGAGTGGCCGACCAGCCACCCTGGTGATGACTGTGCCGGCCACTGCCATCTACTTCACCTCCTATGACCAACTCAAGACCTTCCTGTGTGACCGAGCCTTGACCTCTGACCTCTATGCCCCCATGGTGGCTGGCACTCTGGCCTGCTTGGGCACTGTGACTGTGGTCAGCTCCTTGGAGCTGGTGAGGATGAAGCTACAGGCTCAGCATGTGTCCTATCAGGAGCTGGGCACCTCTGTTCAGGCCGCAGTGGTGAGGGGCGGCTGGCGCTCCCTGTGGCTGGGCTGGGGGCCCACTGCCCTTCAGGACGTGCCCTTCTCAGCCCTGTATTGGTTCAACTACAAGCTGCTGAAGAGCTGGCTGAGTGGGCCCAGGCCAAAGGACCAGCCATCCGTGGGCATCAGCTTTGTGGCTGGCGGAATCTCAGGGATGGTGGCAGCCTTCCTGACTCTGCCCTTCGATGTAGTGAAGACCCAGCGCCAGGCTGCGCTGGGCACAGTGGAGGCTCTGAGAGTGAGGCCACCACGGGTCCGCTCCACCTGGGTGCTGCTGAGGAGGATCCAGGCCGAGTCCGGCACCAAGGGGTTCTTTGCAGGCTTCCTGGCCCGGATCATCAAGGCCGCCCCTTCCTGTGCCATTATGATCAGCACTTAGGAGTTCAGCAAAAGCTTCTTCCAGAAGCTCAATCAGCAGCAGCTGTCAGGCCCTTGAAAGGGGCTCAGGGCCTCCCATCTCCTCAGGTGGGCTGTGGGCTGAAGGAGACTGAGCCAAGTGCCTTTTCCTCAGCACCGAGGAGCAAGAGCTGTGGCCTCTCCCCACTGGACCACCCTCAGCCTCTCCCCAGACCGGGCCTTCTTCCTGCTGCACCCCACACCCCAGACTCAAGGATCCTCACTTTCTTAACCCCCCCAAGTTCAAGACCAAATTTTCTACTTGCCCCCCACCTCCCTGCCCCTGTATGTTTGCTGTAACTGGGCCTGCCTCAGTCTCCCCTACCTCTATTAATTCCTTACATCTGAAGATGAAAAACAAAACAAAAAATATTATACCTGATAGATGATGAAGTCCAGTTTAGTTCATGCATTTGGGTGAAGTCTGAATTTCCCTGTCTTTCTGCAATCATGTCAGAAGTAAGTCTGCCACCAAACAAATCTCTCGCACTCTCAATCTCCGGTGGCTCCTGTACCAGGAGAGTTAGAAAGAGGTGGTCTGTCTTTCAGATAACGGCTAAATCACATCCTTTCTCTGGTTCCGAGACGGAATGAAGTAAACTCACCTTTCTCTATTCTTTTCACTAAGCAGAGCTCAAAGCCCTAGATAGCATATATAAAAGAAATGTACGACTGAAAGGTGCAGAAAAGAAGGCAGGTCAGCTAGGACACTTGGGATTTTAAAAATGATATAGCAATGAGTTCTCTGGTTTTGCCTTTATTTGTTTTTACCTCATATATGCTGGCCTAGCAACTGGAGAAGCTGGCAATCTAGATGTGCAAGCAAGAGCAGACAAAAACCAACCAAACAAAATACACCACAACAAATATTTGCTTGCTCTAAACAAAGCTCTCATTAAATGTTTCGATAATAGAGGCCCTATTTATTCCACATAAGACACAGCAACCCCAATTCCACCAGCAAAAGCAGAATGGGAGCCTGCCTGTCCCCCCTTGCCAAGTTATGATGAGGTGCCTCTCCAACATTCCTCTGTTGAGTGGGGAACCTCTCATCACCTCCCACCCCCCAGTCAAATACTCCCTGCCGTCCCCTGGTAGACTGGACTTCTACCTGGTGGTAGAGGGTTATCGGTGGAGCAGTGATGAGGCATTCCTGACCTTTCCAGCAAGGATTAGGCAGAGGAGGTCCATGGAAGCATCAACTCCTATCGCAGCCCAACAGTAAGGAGGCACAGCCCCCCAAGGTGTCAACAGAAGCTGAATGGAAAACGTCTGCCAGCAACTAAGTAGTGTCCCACTTCCCCACTGGTGCGGAGTCCTAGGAGGCTTGCTAAACTAGAAGTTTCAGGTCTGCTGTCCAAAATGCAATAAAAAATAACTCATACCAAGAACCAGGAAAATCTCAACTTGAATGAAAAAAGTCTATAAACTAATGTTATTACCCAAATGACTCAGATGTTAGAATCGCACCCATTAACACTGCAGATCCTTTACAATTATATTGCTCTTCTACCTCACTTTGTATCCACTTTTTGCAGCTTACTTTACTATTATGTAGAAGTATTAAAGTTTCATTTAGATTTCCATTTCCTTACTTTACCTATTTTCTTTCCCTAGACCAGTGGTTCTCAACCTGTGGGTCACGACCCCTTTGGAGGTCAAACGACCCTTTCACAGGGGTCACCCGATTAATAATAACAGTAGCAAAATTACAGTTAAGAAGTAGCAACAAAAATAATTTTTTGGTTGGGGGGGTCACCACAACATGAAGAACTATATTAAAGAGTCCTGGCATTAGGAAGGATGAGAACCACTGTTCTAGACAATTGTATGCACAATTTTTGTTTTTCCTATCAACACTCTTCAAATTACTTCCAAATCTAGACAAATATGACCTTCCACATCCTTATTTAGTGATTTTATTTTTTAAAGTTTCCCTACAGTGTTAATTAGCATTTAATTAACATATCATACAATTCAGTAGTTCAATTGCATCAAGAAGAACTGTACAATCATCACCACAATCAGTTTTAGAATATTTTCTTCATTCTTGTACTCATCATTATGAGCTCTACCATTCCCCCCACCAACCTCCCCTGCCGTACCACTAAGGAACCACTAATCTAGTTGTTTAGTGATTTTAATTGCCTGTTTGTCATCTCCTGGCAGATGATTCACTGTCAGATAATATGTTTAATGCTAAACATCTAATTCCTTAAATCTCTTCCAGCTATTTCTATGTCTGTCATGATGCATTTTCCCCTTCCCTTTCCCTTTGTCCTTTAAATCCAATTGCTTGTCAAGTTCTGGCAATTCTCCCAATATTTCTCATAATTTTCACTTCTCCTATATCTTCCTGGATCAGACTCTCATATATTAAGCCTCTTCTGGATCTTTCAAGTTCATCACTCAACAGTTCTACCTTCCACCAAACATTTGAAAAAATGCAAACAAATTCTTTGTTACTGCACAAGAAACCTGATCTTACCTCCATTGACTAATCACAGGTTCATAATTTCTTTTAAAAGCATCGTTGCTTTTAGAAGCACATTTAAAATTCCCATTTCTAGCAACAACGTGTTGCTGGTACCATATGTTTTCTCTAAGACACTAGAAACGTTCTCAAGGGGTCTCCTCACTTCCTCCTGAGCTCTCAGCAAAATCGTCTTTCCTGTCCATTATTCTGCCGACAGTCTCTTCAAGGCAATTAGGCTGGTTCTATCCCTCAAACCCACGGTCCTCGGTTGATTTCAGTTCATAGTCACCTATCATAGGGTTTCGCAGACTGTAAATCTTAGGGGAGCAGCCAGCTTTTCTCCCTCAAAGCAACTGCTGGGCTTGAGTTGGTGGTTTTCAGTCCAATGCCTAACCCACCGTGCCACAGGGTCCTTCCAAACTACCCCCACCCCCCCACCCCCAAATCAGGCACCTTAAAACGTTTCTAGTCTCTGTCCATTACCCAATTCCAAAACGACTGCCCCTTTGTCTCTGTAAAAGCAGAACCCTACTTTGTCATTGCCAAATTCCAACTACGTTATCGAGTGTTGCTATAACACAAAGGTCACAGGTGAATGGCTTTAACTAAGAACGATGTATTTTCTTACGATTTCAGAGGCTAGACGTCCGAATGCAGGGTGCCAGAGCTTTCTTCCTGTCATCTGTGGAGGAAGGTCCTTGTCGCTTTTAAGCTTCTGCTCCAGGGCCATCTTAGGCATTACTTTTAGATTGAGTCCCCATGTTCGGTGTTTAGTTTTCTTTACAAGTAACAGTAATGTTCACATACCATTTGTCAGTTCAAAAATCTTTTAAAACTATAAATAATTTTTGTAAGAAATAGGCAGCTATATTTAGACCCAACAGGATCATAGGGTTGCAGAGAAAAATTCCTTCTATCCCATAAAATTGTGTTCTACCTTTCAGGAATTACCACAGTGGGTACCAATGTAAGCAGCATCCTTCCTCTGCTACCTCAAGTTAGAAAATTAAGAAGTAGCCAGATAAGAAAATTTTAAAGTATAGATCTAAAATTGCTGTTGAGACTTATATTTTAATAAACGTAGTAAAAGTGGGCATTGTGTTGTTGATTTTAGGTGCCACTGAGTTGGCACCAGCTCACAGCAACTGTATGCGTCACAGAACAACCACAACTGTTGTTATGTTTGAGTCCACTGTTGCAGCTACTATGTCAATCAACCGCCTCCTTGAAATCTCCCTCTTTTTGTTGAGCTACTTTACCAAGTATGATGTCGTTTTCCATGGACTGATCTCTCATGATATCATGTTCAAAGTATGTAAGACAAAGTCTCACCGTCGTTGCTTCTAAGGAGCACTCTGGCTGTGCTTCTTCAAAGACAGATTTGTTTGTTTTTGACAGTCCATGGTCCTTTCAGTATTCTTCACCATAATTCAAAGGCATAGATTTTTCTTCAGGCTTCCTTACTCACTGTCCAATTTTACGTGCTTATGAGGTGATTGAAAATACCATGACTTGATGCAGGTACATCTTAGTCCTTAAAGTGACATCCCCGGTCTTCAGTATTATAAGGAGATCTCGTGCGGCAGATTTAGCCATGGCAATGATTCCTTTGATTTCTTTTTTTTTTTTTTTTTTTTAGTGTTTTCTAAATTTTATTTTTTGGCTTTCTTTTTCAAGAATACTTTTTTTTTTTTTAACATTTTATTAGGGGCTCATACAACTCTTATCCCTCCTTTGATTTCTTGACTATTGTTTCATCCAAGCAAGATCAAATCCTTGACAACTTCATGTATTTTGACGTTACCTATTGGTCCAGCTGTGAGGATTTGGGTTTCTTTACTGTAATCTATTTTGAAGGCTGCAATCTTTGATCTTCATTAGCAAGTGCTTCAGGTCCTCCTCACTTCACCAAGCAAGATTGTGTGATCTGAGTGTCGCAGGTTGTTAGCAAGCCTTCCTTCAGCACTGATGCCTGGTTCTTCTTCATACAGTTCAATTTCTCTGATGATTTGCTCAGCTTATAGGTTGAGTAAGTATGGCGAGGAATACAACTCTGCCATATACCTTACCTGATTTCAAACCATATAATATTCCCTTGTTCTTTTTACATGATTGCCTGTTGATTCATGTACAGATTCCTTATGAGCACAATTAAGTTTTCTGGAAATCCCTTTCTTCTCAATGCTGTCCGTAGTTTGTTATGGTCCACACAGGCAAATACATTTGCAGAGCCACTAAGACACAGGTAAACATCTTTCTGGTATTCTCTGCTTTCAGCCAAGATCCACCTGATCCTCTTCTGAATCTGGCTTGAATTTCTGGTAGGTCCCTGTTCATGTACTGATGCAACTGTTGAAAAACCTTCAGAAAATTTACTTGCATGTGATATTAATGATATTCTTGGATAATTTCTGCCTTCTCTTCAATCATCTTTCTTTGGAATGGGTACATATCCATTCCAAAGAAATATATATATTTATTCCAATGAGTTGGCCAGGTAACTGTCTTCCAAATTTCCTGGCAGAGACAAGTTGAATACTTACACTGTTTTACCAGCATGTTGAAACATTTCAATTGGTATTCCATCAATTCCTGGAGCCTTACTGCTTTGTGCTAATCCTTACAGTGCATTTTGGATTTCTTCCCTCAGTGCCATTGGTTCTTGACCAGATGCTACTTCTTGAAATGTTTGAACGTCAACCAATTCTTTTTAGTACAGTGATTTTTGTGTATTCCTTCCATCTTCTTTTGATGTTTCTGGCAGTGTTCAGTATTTTGCCCATAGAATCTTCCAATATTACAACTCCAGTCTTGACATTTTTCTTAGATTCTTTCAGCTTAATGAATGCTGAATGTACCTCCTTTTTGGTTTTCTAACTCTAGGTTTTTGTGTTTTCATTATAATATTTTATTTTGTCTTCTGGAGCTGCTCTTTGAAATTTTCCATGTGGATCTTTTACTGAATCGTTCCTTCCATGTGTTTTAGCTATGCTATGGTCAAAAGCAGTTTCAGAGTCTCTTCTGATTTCCACCTGGATTGATTCTTCTCTGTCATTTTAATGACCTTTTGCTTTCTTCATGTATGACATTCTTGATGTCATCCACAGCTCTTCGGGTCTTCTGTCATTAGTGTTCAAAGCATCAAATCTGTTCTTGAGGGGGAATATATGCAAGGTCATACTTTTGGCTCTATGGACTCATCTTAATTTCCTTCAAGTTAAATTTGAACTTACATGAACAACTATAAATAGCTAGTATACATCAAACCCTAATTATTTTGTCTGTTACACAGGCAGTACCTAGCCTTATTTTGGATTGCTTATTTATCACTTATTACATTAGTGATAAAATAATGCTCAAGCCTATAGTAGCTATGGATATGTGAATATGCAGTTTAGATCAAATACTATGTGTCAGAAAACAACTTACAATTGAAATTCCATCCAAAGCTTTCAGTTCTGGAAGATGAAATATTACGAATAATCGATAATTTTCTTGATTCCAAACGAAAAGATTTCCATACATGTCTAGAATGACCAGGTTGCATAAGCTCTAAGAATTAAAAATAAATAAATAAATAGCTAATATACATCAGACCCTAATTATTTTTTGTCCTTTTAAGAGTTTAACCCTCTATAAACTTTAATATTTAAATTGGTCATTCCACAGTAGTTTCCATGTCTTTATGTTCACTTACTCAAACGGGTCGCTTAAGTATATTTCAGCATCTATCTACTATGATCAGAATGCCTTTTAGGATACTGGTGCTAAACGTACTCTCTCTCAATGATTGAAGGGAACTCTGTTATGTTTTTAAAAATATGCATTTATAGAATAGCATCCTATTAAACACTCAGATAAAAAATAGGAAAAACTTCCTGTTGAAAAGGTATAAAACTTTCTAAGATTGTAGGATTCACTTTAAGCAAACATGTGATCTCTCATTAGACAGGACACTTGGATGTGCCTTTGTTGCAAAGGAAGGGCACTTGAGTGTGGATGGGAGAGATTAAGACAAAAGGGATAAACTAGACTGCATCATAATGTAGAGAGATTTAGTTGTTGATTACATTGGCTCTGACGTTTTAGAGGAAGTAGTTATTTGGACTAGTACAATAGAGAGTGAACCCCTTTATGGTGCAAGTGTTTAAATGCTCAATTACTAGCACAAAGATTGACAGTTCATGTTCACTCAGAAGTGTCTTGGAAAACAGGTCTGGTGATTGGTGAAGCAGTTCTACTATGCTCAGGTGTGGTAACCACGAGTCAGAATCAACTCCAGGAAACTGAAAAACATAGGGGGGGGAGGGGAAGGAGGCTGAATTTAAAGCATGGCAATAGACGGACACCGAGCAATATGGTATCAGCAAAGGAGGCCTGGTGGCATAGCAGGTTACTTATTGGGCTGCTAACTACAAGGTCAGCCACACCAAAGAAGAGAGATGGGGCTTTCTGCTCCCACACAGGGCAGGCTGGGAGACCCACATGGGAAGCTCTACTCTGTCTTATATGAGTTGGAATCAACTTGAGGGTAGTGCATTTTCATTTGTTTCTTTGTTTTGAATGGGAAAGAAGCTAAAATGAGACTCAGACTGGTAGTTAATGGCCCTAGAACTTTACAAACAATGAAGTCAGATGTTACTTTTGAAGTGAATTCCTGTTCAGTGCTGCCTAACACACCTTTTAAGTTCAAACCTTCTGTGATCCTTGCTCCACACAGCTCCTGAATTGCTTTATGGATTAGAGAGGAAAGCTGCATCAAGATGACTGGAAAGAGTTGGAGGTACCCAAGTGTACCCAAGGAATGATAGATAGTTAAGAACTGCCTTACAAATAGGAGAAGGTTAGAGAATCTTCCTCCACAACCAGGTTGGGGAACTGTTAAAAGTAGTGAGGAAGGTACTGGTTATGAAGAACAGAGCTTGGATTATTTTTTTGTGTGTATTAAAAATATCACCCTAGCAGGTTACTAACTTGGAAATATTGTTACACCTCTCTCTCTCTCTCTCTCTCACTCTCACTTCCTCCTTCTTTATTTTTTCTCTCTATATTTGTAAGTTGAATGTAAGGACATTTTCATAAACGTTGTTACTCTTGATTTTTATTTCCTTTATATTTTCCAAGTTCTATGACAGTGATTATGCATTACTTCTATAGTATAACAAATATATACATTGAACAACATTCCCCATTCCAAATAATTCCCCCAAATAATTACCTTTAAATTGTAGATCTCCTGGTTGAGAGCAATGTAGTTATTGCTTATGTATAATTCAATTAGAGTAAAAGCTTTTTGTAAACCACTTAATGAAGTGATTCTGTTGTTCTCAAGAGAAAGGGAATGCAGATGAAGCAGGTTATCAAATGTATGCTTCTCCAAACCAGTGAGAAGATTATTATTAATGCTGAAGCGGGTTAATTTAGTCAGTTTTGAGATACCTAGGAAAACAAGCAAATTCAAGAAAGACAGACAGCACTGAAGGGTTAATTTAGAAAAAATATATACTCATCATTTTACTACTATTCTTTTTTTTCAAAGTTCAAATGGCTTTAAAGATTCTATAGTGTGAACCATTATTGCAATTTCTTCTTTTTCAAAAGTATATTCACTGTGTATAAAGTCCCATTACACGCATTTAATTTTTAAACAATTTTTTTCTTCCCCAGGTATTAAGAAAAGGGAATATGTAGGAAACATTGACTATCCTTTCAGTTTGCTTTCAAATGATAACAAATTAGAAATTTCACCACCATGACTACACGACTGCTTACTCAATATATCAGAGCTCTCATTGTACATGCGAGTTCACTGACCACGGGTCCTTGGTGGTGCTGTGGGGTAGGCACTGCACTGCTCATCTGAAGGTCAGCAGGATAAACCCACCAGCCCCTCTGAGGGGGAGAGGAGACTGCTCCTGTAAAGAGATAGTCTTGGAAACCCTATGAAGGAACCGACTCTATGGCAGTTGCCAGTCACGGTCCACCCCTTCCCCACCCACTCCACCCAATACGTCTTCAAAATACTCTGGCCCAGACTTTTGAAACTTCCTTAAAGATCTTTCTCTTCAGAAATTCTCTTTTCGATTTTGTTACTTTTCAGCTTGTTATTTAGACATTCATACTCTGAAATTTAAAATTTCCACATGCAATACCTTCTATCTTTGAGATACAGTTTCCATCGAATGTAAGCTCTTCCAAATTAATACAGGAATCCAAGCCTTCCATTTTTGTGAGATTATTGTTACTGAACGATGCCCATTTCAGATTTACCAGTTTCTCTAAATTTGTGATTTCAAAGAGATGTTGTCCATCTAAATTTAGGGCAGTTATCTGTAGAATCATGTATATTATAAGTTACTCCTGAATCTAACCAGCAAATACAAACAATGTCATAAGATAAAAAAAGCTAATGGGACAATTCAAATGTGATAGATTAGTAAGCATCAAAGAAATTCAGTTAGCAATTAAGAATATTGTACAATTCTTAGTTTACAAAATATGAAATTTAACAAGCCTATAATTACAACTCACTCACTCACTCACTGTCATCGAGTCAATGCTGACTCACAGCGACCCAGAGGTATTTGTATGTCAGATCCCTTGCAATGCAGAACTTGTCCCAGTTCCAGAGGGCTGTCAGCAGGAAGCCTTCAGCTCTCAGCCCTCTAGGGATTACCTCTGCTGAAGAGCTGCCTCATCAAACATCATAACTCCTTTCCAAGGTGGCCCACATCCAGTAATGGAGGGATACAGAGACTTGCCATTCTTAGTGCTACTGGGGACACATTTAAAAGGCCATTCTCCTTCTCACACTCTCATGGGGTCAACTAAGGCTTTTATTAGGTCTGCACACAGTTGAATTTCTATCTTCTGTAATGAAAATAGTGCAATGAATAGCTTCCATTTTCAAAGGTCATCTTTTTTTTTTTTTTTGGACAATGTTTTTATTGCTACCAGAGGCTTTTCTCATCGATCATGGCATGGTTGTGACTGCAATACCTTGTCAGACTGCACAGAATGACCAGGATCTAAAAGTCATTAAGAAAAATACATAGACAGACTGGAGAGGAAGGAGAATAACTTTTACAGAGAAAATCCTAGCAACATAAAACTTGGATACTGAATTCAGTTATTGCATGTTACAGATTCAAACCATAGAACTGCCCCAACATCTAGACAGTCTTTTCTACTGATTGTAAATGGGAGGGTGTTGAATTCTGATCAGTTATAAAATCTAACCTCAGTTGTTTACGTACATGTTTCTTTGGTGATCACCTGGATATATTAACTTTATCACAAATAATTTTATACAAATGTCAAAAAAAAAAGCTTTCAACTAATCTAAACATGTCCTAATCACAAACCACTATTAAGTTTCACTTTAAGATAAACAAAAATAAAAGCATCAATTTTATTTCTAGACTCTAGGAATTGAAATGAGATAAACACTAAAAATCAACCTGTTTATTATGTGTTTTTTTTTTTTACCACCTGATTCATATAAAGCAATTTCAAAGTTTTTTCAGAGGGGACGCGGGGTCATCGGCGGGCCCGTTACCACCTCATTCTCCTCAGCGGGGTGCGGTGGCGGGGCACGCGCGGGACGAGGCCAGGCCGCAAAGGTCATCTTTTCTTATCCCAGTTTCTCTCTTTGGCAAGAGGTAGAAGAGCTCCTTAAGCAGCAAGAAGTTGCTGGTGCTCTATAAGCTCTGGCCACTTTCCTTAACTGCTTGCCAGGATTCCCGATTCATTTTACCTTGCCACTCAGACTTGGTCTCTGGCTATGAGCCTTTAAAGTTTGCTTCCATTTTATGGCCTATTGTCAGACCATAGCCTTCAGTTTTGTCATGTACATTACCCTCAATCTCCAATTATAAGGTGACCATATAACAGGCCTTGTTCCTAGAACCTAACTACTCACTAGCTGACCTCTATTTTAATTAGAGGTTTAATTAGAAGACTCAAAGTCTTCCAGGACCTTGAGTATATCCTACTTGAATTTAAAGACCACCTCAAGGACAGATTCAGCATATTAAACACTAATGATTGAAGACCTGGTGTGTTGTGGGTTGACAATAACAAAGTCATATTTGAAGATTTTTTAGAAGGTAGGAAAAAGGAAAAGACCACAGTGGAAGGCAACAAGATTGGAGGAAGGCTTGCCAACAACCTTGCCAACATATGAAGAGACTCTGAAACTTGCTCTTGAATGAAGAGTAGCTGAATTGATTGGAATAAATGATGAAGTAAAAGACCTGCACAGAAAATGTCAAAAGGCGGCTTGAAAAGGCAGAGCAGAGCATTATAATGAAATGAACAAAGATCTGGAACTAGATAACCAAAAAGGAAGAACACACTCAGCATATCTCAAGCTGAAGGAGCCAAAGAAAGAGTTCAGGGCTTGGATTGTAATATTAAAGGATTCTATGAGCAAAATATTGAATGATGCAGAAAGCATCAAAGAATCACGGAAGAAGCAGACAGAGTCATGGGACCAAAAAGATAGTTGAAAGCTATTTCAAGAGGTAGCATATACTCAAGAGACAAAGGTACTGAAGAAAGAAGTCCAAGCTGCACTGAAGACATTAGCAAAAACGAGTCACCAGGAATTGACATAATACCAATTGAAATATCCTAACAAGATGAGGAAGCAGTGAAAGCATTATGTTAAGAAATTGAGAAAACAGCTATCTGACCAACCATGTGACAGTGATCCATATTTGTGGCCATTCCAAAGAAAGATGACCCAATGAATGTGGAAATTATCCAACGATATCATTAATATACCATGGAAGTAAAATTGCTGGACAGAATTCACAAAGTTTTAGCAGTACATCAACAGAGAGCTGCCAGAAATTCAAGTTGAATTCAGTAGCGGATGTGAATGAGGAATATCACTGATGACATCAGCTGGATCATGGCTGAAATCAGAGAAAACTTAAAAAGATGTTTACTTGCATTTTTTTATTATTCAAGGGCATTTGACTATTTGATCATTACAAACTATAAATAATATTATAAAGAATGTGACTTCTATAACACTTTAATTGTGCTCCTATGGGGAACCTATACATAGATCAAGGGCCCATAATTCAAACAGAACAAGGGGACACTGCATGGTTCAAAACCAGGAAAGGTGTGTGTCAGGGTTGTGTCCTTTCATCACAGTTATTCAGTCGGCATACTGAGCAAATAGTATGAGAAACTGTACTATAAGAAGAAGGAGAAGGCAACAAGATTGGAGGAAGGCTTGCCAACAACCTTGCCTACTGAAAGTGAAGAGAACTTGAAGCACTTGCTGATGACGATCAAGGGTTGCAGCCTTCAGTGTGGATTATAACTCAATGTAAAGAAAACAAAAGAGCCTCACAACTGGACCAATAGACAACATCAAGATAAATGGAAAAGTTTGAAGTTATCAAGGATTTCATTTTATTTGGACCCATAATCAATGCTTACAGAAACAGCAGTCAAGAGACCAAATGACATACTGCATTGGGCAAATCTGTTGCACACGATCTATTTAGAGTGTTAAAAAGCAAAGTTGTCACTTTGAGGTGAGCCTGACCCAAGCCACGATATTTTCAATCACCTCATATGAATGTGAAAGCTGGACGATTAATAAGGGAGACCAAAGAAGAATTGATATATTTGAACTATGGTGCCGGTGAAGAATATTAAAAGTACCATGGACTGCAGAAGAACAAACAAAGCTGGAAGGAAGTACAGCCAGAATTCTCCTTAGAAGTTAGGGTGCTGGCACTTCATCTCACATTCTTGGACATGGTATCAGGAGAGACCTGCTGGAAGTCATCATGCTTGGTAAAAGAGAAGTCAGTGGGAAAAGCAGGAGACCCTTAAGGAAGACGGACTGGCACTGGCTGCACCAATGAGCTCCAAAGGAACAGCATTTGTGAGGCTGGTGCAGGACCAGTGTTTAGATCTACTGCCCCCAGGGTCCCGCTGCACTTAACAACAACTTCTGCTTTCTGGCTGTCTAGTCATCGATGCCCTCTCTACAAGACAAGACCAAAGCTGATTACAAACCAACTGAAATGAAGCTCTTAAATTAGGTTCAATAGAATTAGCCTTTACCTTCAAATGCCAGTTTCCATTCAGATGTGAATATGGTCCTGACTTTGAAATCTGGGTCAATGTTTTGGCAAAAGGCCATGTGCTGAGCACCCGAGGCCTCTCCTCTTTTGTACTAGAATGTTGTAAAAGAGATAACTAACAGAAATAAATCAATAAAAACACAATTAATAAAGAAAAAACATACATGTTCATTTATATATAAAGCATTGCATCCAGATGATTTTTTAAATTTCAACATTTCACTTTTTGTTTTAGTGAATGCTGAACCATACAAAATCATGCTATCAGATTTCAAAAAGACTAATGTAATGCCAAACACTCACATACTTACTCACCCATAAACAAAGGTAGAGCTAGATTATCACTAATCCCCTGGAAGCTCCCTGTGCACTTAACCTAATACTTTTCATCTCCTTCCTCTCAGAATTGATCTCTCGCTGAAATTTTGTGTTGATCAGTCCTTTGCTCTTCTTCACAGTCTTAATATCTATGTTTAAGCCCATAGAAAATATATGAGGAGACTTAAAAATTCCATTACCTTTAATTCCATTTCTCTACAAACTTTTAGAAGGCCTCTCATATTATTTAGTCCTGCCACGTTTGGATCTTACATAAATTGAATCATATTTTATTGATGTATAAAACCAAAACCACCCCCCAGAATTCCCTTCAGAGGACAGCACTGAAGCTATAGTTCAGGGAGAGGGACATGTCAGATCAGAGCACACAGGAGCAAACGAAGGGGGAGGAAGAGAGAGTGGAGCACATCCTGGCCCTCCAAGCCCCGAGGAAGATATTCCTGCTCAGAGCAGCCAATATACAGAGAGGACCATAGGGTCAGCCCCTCCATAAGATACAACATCCCTCAGTGACCCATAGCCCTACAGGGGACAACACTGGAGACACAGTGTGGGAATTGTGCCCAATCTGACCCCAGCACTCCAGGGTGAAACACTAAGGACATGCAACAGAACAGCCAGGGGAGCAAAGCAAATAAAGCCCCCAGGGAATACCAAAATTAGACTTTGGGGCCAGGGTGTGGCACCCCATCAGACTCAACTGAAAACACTCCTAAAGGTCAGCAAACAAACTTTGAACTATTTATAGGCTTTTCTTTTTTTGTCATTAGTTTTATTTGTTGTTTTGTTTTCTTTTGTCGCTTTGTTTTGCTCTGTATTGTTTTTGTGCTTATTATTGTCTCTGCATGTCTATCTAGATAAGATAGGTGGGAGAAACAATCTGGAGGAAGTGAGTGTTAAAAAACCCAGGGAGAAGGGAACAACAAGTGATCTTAAATCGATAGTGAGGAGGGTATAGGATGCCTGGTAGGGCTTGTAACTGAGAGGAATTGCTGAAACTCAAATGAAGGTTGAACATGATAGTGGAACTAGAGGAAAGAACTAGGAGGCAAAGGGCATTATAGAGGTCTAAATATAGGCATGTGCATATGTAAATATATTTATATATGATGATAGGGAAATACACCTATGTACATATATTTATAAGTTTAGTATAAAGGTAGCAGATGGACATTGGGAATATTCAAGTACTCCCTCAACACAAGAACACTTTGCTTTAATAACCTGGCATTCCATGATGCTCACCTTCCCTGACATGATCACTGAAGACAAAGTGGGTACATAAGCAAATGTGGTGAAGAAAGCTGATGGTGCCAGGTTATCAAAAGATACAGTGTCTGGAGTCTTAAAGGCTTGAAGATAAACAAGTGGTCATGTGGCTGAGAAGCAACAAAATCCACATGGAAGAAGCACACCAGCCTGTGTGATCATGCGATGTCAATAGCATCAGGTATCAGGCATCAAAGACCCAGAATGAAAAATCATATCATTATGAATGAGGGGGAGTATGGAGTGGAGACCTAAGGCCCATTTGTAGACAACTGGACATCCCCTTATAGATGGGTCACAGGGAAGAGACAAGCCAGTCAGTATATCACCATGGAAACATACAACTTTCCTCTAGTTCTTTAATTCTTTCTCCCCCCACTATCATGACTGGCTTGACCAGAGCATGTACAGGGGTACAGATACGAGCTGGAAACACAGGGAATCCAGGACAGATAAACCCCTCAGACCCAATATTGAGAGTAGTGATACCAGGAGGGGAAGGGGAAGGTGAGGGGAGAAAGGGGGAACCAATCACAATGATCTATATAAAACCCCCTCCCAGGGGGACGGGCAACAGAAAAGTGGGTGAAGGGAGACATCAGTCAGTGTAAGACAGGAAAAAATAATAACAACATTTAAATTGTTAAGAGTTCATGAGGGAGGGAGAGTGGAGGAGGGAGAGGAAAATTTGAGAAGCTTATACCAAGGGCTCAAAAAAGAAAATGTTTTGAAAATGATGATGGCAACAAATGTAAAAATGTGCTAGACACAATGGATGTATGTATCATTGTGATAAGAGTTTGTGACAAGAGTTTCATGAGCCCCCAATAAAATGATTTTTAAAAAATCTAGAACCAAGGTTTGGTTCTAGACCACCATAATGAAATGGAAAAAAACACAAAAAACAAAAACCAAGCTCAACCACTATCAAGTCGATTACAATTCATAGTGACTCTAAGACAGAGTAGCACTGCCCCTGTGGGTTTCTGAGACTATAAATCAGGTGTCCTCAAACTATGGCCCACGGGCCAAATGCAGCCTGCCGAGGAGATTTATCCAACCCGCCGGATGTTTTTGCCCCATTTGTTTTTTTACTTCAAAATAAGATATGTGCAGTGTGCATAGG